CCTGGCAGCTTGAAATTCATGCAGGGCATATGTGTGTACATGTCCAAAAGCCCAAGAGGAGAATGGGAAAGGGACTGAGACATGGCTATTCCCATGAGGGGTGATTTCCCACTTTCTCTCTCTCTCTCTGTCTCTGTCTCTTTCCAATGAGCACAAACATCCTATGGCTAAAATCTAAATTAAAAAATAAAAAGAAGGGACAGCAGATGGCATAGCAGTTACGTCGCTGGACTCCCACATGGCTAATCACAGTTAAGTCCCAGACCCAGTGGCTTCAAACTCACACAAGGCGCATGTGTATGTGTGCCCAAGATCCTAGGAGGAGAATGGAGAAGAGACTGTGGCAATGGCCATCCCCTCTGCAGAGGAGGATGTGATTTCTCACTTTCTATCTCTCTGGTGAGCACACACACCCTATAGCAAAAATCTCTGCTAAAAAAATTAAATTAAATTTAAAAAAACACATTAAAACAAAAGTGAGAACAGGTGGTGTGGTGGTTAAGGGTGCTGGACTCCCTCATGGTTGACCGTGGTTCTAGTCCCAGCCCTGGCAACTTGCTTTCTCACTTTCTCTCTCTTTCTCTCTCTCTCTCTTTAGCTCTGTCCCTCTCTAGTCAAATTTAAATAAATAAATAAAGTTAAAATGATTCCTTAAACAAACAAAAAAAAGTGAGACATGGAGTTATCTCATTTTGTACCTCCACTAGTAGGTTTTAACTCAAATGAGATTCATTCCTAAAAGAAATAAAAAATTAAAAAGGATTTTTGAAAACAGATAGGGGCTGGGGCCAGGAGGTGACATGGTGGTTAGCTCACTGGACACACATGGACCACTGGACTTTGAGTCCCAGACCTGGCTGCTTGCATTCTCACTTTCCTTCTCTCTTTCTCATTCTCTTTCTCTCTCTCTCCAGTGAGTACATGTGCCCTATAGCAAATTTTAAAATAATAATAAAAATAAATATTTTTAAAAAATAGAATTATCGGTCAACCGCACAGTGCTGTGGTTAAGCACAATTTACTGTGAGCTGGATCCCACATGGCCAACTGTGGTCCGAATCCCAACCTCGGCATCTTGAAAAACATGCCAGGTACATTTGTGTACATGCCCCAAATCCTAATGTGAAAAAGAAATGGAGGAAAGGAGAGTACAGTGTGACTATGCCCCAACAAAGAGTGCACATAATCCCTGACAATAAATAATAATAACAATGTATTAAAAATAGGATAAAAGACGGGTCAGCAAGTGCCATACAGGTTAAGGTGGCTGGATCCCACATGGCCAACTGCATGGGTTCAAGACTCAACCCAGTAACTTGAAAATCATGCCAGAGTCAGGACCAGCAATTGGCATAATGGCTATGTCGCTGAACTCCCATGTAATCGACCGAAGTTCGAGTCCTGTACCCAGTAGTTTAAACTCACACAGGGCACATGTGGGTGCATGCCCATGATCCTGAGAGGAGAATGGAGGGGAAAGGATTGCAGTGTGGCCATCCACCCAGGGGGTGATTTCTCACTTTCTGTCTTTCTCTCTCTCTTTCTGGTGAGCACCTGCACCCTATTAAAAAACAAACAAACAAAAAAAAAAACTCTCCAAAAAAAAAAAAAAAATCACGCCAGGATCGTGTGCATACTTGCCCAAAATCCCAAGAGAAAAATGCATGAAAAGGGATTGCAGTGTGGCTATTTCTCCTGGGAGGTGATTTCTCATTGTCCCCCTCTCCAGCAAGTATGTACGCCCTATAGCAAACAATAGCAAACAAACAAAAGTAAAAGGATAAAAGAAAAAGGATTTATTTAAATACCTATATCCAATATTTGTAGCTTTTTTAAACATCTAAATAAAAGTATACTTTACCCAATCTTCTCAACAACATTGATTTATTCAACAAAATACCTATGAATTATTTATTCTGTGTAAGACAAATTAATCACATGTATTTTCTTCTACTTCCTACCAAAATCCCACTGAAATGCATTCATTCATTCTGGAAAACAGAAAGCAGGTGGGATTATATTGAAGATTAAGCTGGTGCAAAGAAAACTCAATATAAAATGAATATATGTTTATGCACACATGTATGAGACATTCCTGCCAGCAAAGCCTGGAGAGATACCAATCTTAGAGACTACAGGCATAGAAACGAAGAGAAAACTAAAAGAATTAAAATCAGAATAATTGAAATATTAATATGAAACAGCCAAGCCAAACTTTTTTAAAATTCATGATAGAATGCATATAAACACATATGAGAGTTTACAATGAATGAGATGGGCACCCTCCACAGGATCTGCTCATGTCACAATTCCCTTCCTTCAGTCTTCCATTCTGTTGGATCTTGGGCACCTGCATGTATGCAAGGTTGGGGATTTGAACAGCAACCGCTACATGGGTTCTGCTTCTCTTGAGCCACAAATAGCACTGTGCCACAGAGCTAACCCCAAGCCAAATCTTTCACCACAACCCTTCACACATAGGAAGTCAAGCAACAAGAGCCTTAGTTTCTAGCCCAAACTACAATTGTTCATTTAAAAATGTAATACAAACCTAGAACCAGTAGGAGGATCTTTATGTTCCATAACAAAGCTTTTGTTATTTGGATACAGGACACAAGAAAGAGGGAACAGGCAACACTTTTCTTATACTTCTTTTACATGCTCGGTAGGTTTTTATACCATTATCACCATAAAAACATGAGTAATGCATGGTGCTACGATATTACACAGCTCAGACATCACTAGGCATAAGGAATTTTTCAGCTTTATTATAATCATATGGGACCACAATCGTATATGCAATCCTTTGCTGACCAAACACCATTACACACCACTAATGGTACTTACAAATATTTACTAGTGCTTAGCACAGAATAAATGTGATTTGGAATTACTTATTTGTATAATCTCCCCTATTAGACTAAGGGAGATAGAGGACAGAAATCCATTTATTTGCCATTTTACCAAACCTAGTGATCTGGCACACATCATCCATTAATAAGAAGTGCTAAATAATCACTGTACCTAGTAAGTAAGAGATCCAGATCCCAGATGGCCCACCACAGTTGGAATCCCAATCTGAGGACCTGAAGAACACAATAAGTGGATGTGTGGGAACGCATGTGTGTGTATATGCCTACCTGCCCAAAATCCTAACAGAGCAGATTAATGGAGAAGGGACTGTAGTGTGATTATGTCCCACTGGGGGTGCAGGCAGCCATGCTTGCACTTGTTCACACACTCTCTCTCTCTGGCGAGTACACTCACCCTCTGGCAAAAAAAGAAAAAAAAAATAGTGCTAAATAAACTAATAAACACCTCAATTCCAGAACAAGAGATTTTCTTCGATTCTGTGGTTTATGCTAAAAATAAATGAATAAATAAATACTGTCAGGTCAACAGATGGCACATTGGTTAAGGTGCCATCTGGATCCCACATGGCCACTGCATACTTCAAGTACCCCAGGGTGGCTTGAGAAACAAGGTAGGCACATGTCCATGTGTGCCCAAAACTCGGAAAGGAGGAAGAGAGAAAGCTGTAGCCTGATCACTTCCCATGGAGAATGTTTTCTACTTACTGTGGGTCTCTCTCTGCCAAATGTACATGCCCTCTGGCAAATTTAAAATCCTAACAGAGCAGATTAATGGAGAAGGGACTGTAGTGTGATTATGTCCCACTGGGGGTGCAGGCAGCCATGCTTGCACTTGTTCACACACTCTCTCTCTCTGGCGAGTACACTCACCCTCTGGCAAAAAAAGAAAAAAAAAATAGTGCTAAATAAACTAATAAACACCTCAATTCCAGAACAAGAGATTTTCTTCGATTCTGTGGTTTATGCTAAAAATAAATGAATAAATAAATACTGTCAGGTCAACAGATGGCACATTGGTTAAGGTGCCATCTGGATCCCACATGGCCACTGCATACTTCAAGTACCCCAGGGTGGCTTGAGAAACAAGGTAGGCACATGTCCATGTGTGCCCAAAACTCGGAAAGGAGGAAGAGAGAAAGCTGTAGCCTGATCACTTCCCATGGAGAATGTTTTCTACTTACTGTGGGTCTCTCTCTGCCAAATGTACATGCCCTCTGGCAAATTTAAAAAAAAAAAAATTAGGAGGAAAATGACAAAGATGAAAAATGGACCGCTCTTTCCTGCTTTCTGATGTGGTTCAAATTTTAGGTAGAGCAAGCAACCTTCTTTTCGTGTTGTTTTTTGTTGTTGTCGCTGTTGTTATTGTTTTGTTTTTTGTTTAAGAGAGGTATTTTACTATATGGCCGTGTGCTTGGTGAACAACGCAGAGAGACAGTGGGAAATCAGCCCCTTCCACTCCCCCCCCACCGCGCCCCAATCCCTTCTCCTCCATTCTCCCCTCCAGATTTTGGGTATGCTGCAATCTTAAACAGATCTAGCAAGACAGCCTAGCTTTTCCCCTCTTCCAGAAAGAGAGTAAACGCTCTACAGCTAGCCAACAATGTATAACTCCATATAACTGTTTAATATGGGAGATTAAAACAAATAACAGCATTTTTTTTAAGAGGGAAGGAGAAACCAAAACCTGTGGGCTAATTTTAGAATCCAGTCAGACGTGACTTAGTCCTGAACCTCCTACAAAGGTAAGCTAGCAGCTTACTTAAAAAAACAACAGCCCAACACTTCAACCCAGGGATAGAGGAGCCCACGTGGGATAATAAATAAGGGCGGCGATGTCTAACCGCCCTTCCCACTAAGAGTCCCGGGTCATGCCAGCCTTGGAAGGTACCCGCTGACACTGGGGAATGGCCCGTCTCCTCACTCGGCGTTTCCCCTACCACTGCCCAGAGCTAGTCAGGAACGGTTACAACTAAGTACCGAGCAGACCGCACACAGCCCACAGCTGAGGAACCGAGACAAGCGTCAGGCGGGAAAGATGAAGTGTACAAACGTCATACGCGGAGACGAAAAAGGAAATGCAGTGAGAGGGCAGGTCAGTCAGAAACACCGCCTCTTGTCACTCCTCACCTCTACCTCACGTTTCCTCACCTACCGGCCTGCACCCGCCCAGCTCACACTCTTCCGGCTCTCCCAGCAGCGCGGGTCAGGCCGCCGTCCACAGGAGAGCGGCGCATGACAGGAGGGAGCGGCCGCCTCCTCCAAGACTCACCAGCTCGTCTTGCCACCGCTTCACCCCGAAAAGACTGGCCCGAGGCGGGGTCTCCAGGCGTCTGGTCCTGGAGAGCCGCCGCTTTCAGTCACCACCCTCAGGCTGCGGTTGAAGGAACCAGGAGGGGCGCAGGTGGTGTCTCGGCTTCCGTAGGCGGATAGCCTCGTGGCCCCGGATGTTGATCTGCCACCTGCCCCGGAAGCGGTGGCGGGACGCCCAAGGGAGCGGAGGCGGTGTTGTCCTGCTCTCCGGAAGGAGACGTGGCGGCGGTTGGGCCCCCGGCTCGCTTGGCGCTTTGTAGCCCCGCCGCCTCCTTCTCCTCCTCCTCCTCCTCTCCTCTCCTCTCCTGAACCGGCAGAGGAGCCTGGGTCGGGGGGGGGGGGGAAGCGGCGGGGGGGG